TAGAAATTTTATTTTTTCCCGAATCCTAGCTGCCGCATGCCTGTGCTCCTCCCTGCTCGGTGGCCCTCGCTCCCAGCTCTCTTTGCCCACCCCTGGACTCCTGGTCTGGAATAACGCCTGCTCCCCACCCCCACCACGCCCACCACTCAGTGCACACCCTGGCCAGGGAGGCTGCTCTGTGTCAGCACTGCGGGGGAGGGAGCCCAGAGAGGAGACGTTTGAACTCCCTGATATTTGACCATTTTTGACCTCTCAGAAGTGGTGATTTTAAGGGATCCAACATAGTCTAGAGTGAATGAATGAGTGGGAACAAATGCATTTCTCCTGTGCAGGATGGGAGCCCTGGGTGTGGAGGGGGGACTGGAGGGTCAGGGCCAGGGCCGGGATTTGGAGGCCGCCCCCCACCCGCCGTGCGGGGAGGGGCTTGGGAGGCCCTGGGGCTGGGGCGCGGGTGTGATGAATGGACGCTGGTGCGGGTCCTAGGAGGAGAGAGGCCGGGACGGCAATGACACTATTTAGCTGAGGAATGACCTCCTGACACTCTTCAAATAAATGCGGGCTTGTTACGGAGACGGGAGGCAGCTGCCGCCCCCGCCGCCTCTGATTCTGGTACAAGAGAACAAAACGGCCGGGCATTGTGTGCGTGTTGTGTGCGTGTGTCTGTGTGTGCATGCACCTTTGTGTGCCTGTCTCCTTTGTGTGTCTGTGGTCGTGGTTCGCGTGTGATCTGGATGAACGCGCGTCTGCCCGTGCTCATCGCGACGCGAGTCTTTCTCTGTGTTTGTCTTTGTCCACACTGTGTGTCTGAGCGCATCTGTGTCTCCCTTGGCAGCTGTGCCTCTGCCTGTCTGTGCGCCCGTCTCTCTTCTCCTGCGCCTGGTGGGAGCAGCGCCCGAGGCCGTGTGGGAAAGCTGTGCACTTGGTGATGAGACTTTCCCTGGTTGAGTACCTACTAAGCACCAGGCGCCGTGCTCAGAGAGAAGCCCAGAGCAGGACAGCAGCTGGCCAAGGACTCCCGCGGAGGCTGCACTTAGCCACAGCCCACAGGCACTAACCACGCCGCTGTCCACCGCTTCCTCTTTACCGGGCGGACTAGCGTTACCCCCGCTTTGCCTGTGGGGAGGCTGAGGCACGTGAGTGAGCAGAAGGGACTTTCCCGCCATCAGTGGTGAAGCATCGGTCTCCGAGGCGGGACCCCAGAACCCACTCCTTCTATTTACACTCATGCTCCTTTATTGATTGACAGTAAGGGCAACCGTTTGGGAGAATTGATTTTTATCTGAATTTCCAAACATCTCTAGGTTTTGAGGAACAGTTGAAAACACGCAATCCCATCCCTGAGTCGGCCCGCCATGGCCCACGCACCTGCGCCCAGGGCTGCTTCCTGACAGGACGAGGAGGGGCTCACAGGTGGGGCCTGGGGCAGGAGGATGGGCCCTGACCAATCGTTCAGCCAGGTGGACCTAGTGCAGGCAGGCGTTTTAGCGCACGGCGTGAGGGCCGCACAGGGCCGTGTCCCGCTCCGCTCCGTGTGGCCCCAGGGCACCTGCACCGGGGTCAGCTGGGCCTGGGGTGCAGAGGACAATTCCTGGGGCCACACTGGCCCAGCAGAGGCAGCATATCTGGAGGCAGAGCCTGGGAAGCTGCCCCTTGAACAAAGATCTCAGGCGTCTCCCACTCCCCACAGGTGCTTGGGTGGCTCCTAGAACCTGGGCGGGATTCGGCAGATCGAAGGTCACAGATCACGGATCGGATCGCAGATGGCCTTGAGCGATGCTGGGCTCGGGCTTTGTCCTAAGGACCACAGGGAGCCATCCAAGGCGTCTGAGGGAAGGAGGCCCTGGCTTCTCTCTCCAGAGAACGTCTGGTTAGGAGGAGCTGCAACAGCAGGCAGGGAGCACAGATAGAGGATGCGTTTGTAACAACCCATGCATGAAACGGCAGGGCCTGAGCGTGGACCGGGCCGCCAGGGAGCATGCCCAACCCCACAGCCACGCGTGAAGAAGCAAAGCAGGAACCGTGACGTGTTCTCCTCGGGCAGGTGCCAGGGCCGTTGGCAGCACCCTCCTCCCACTGCGGCACCCTCCTCCAGGCTTAGATCTGTCAGCTGCGTTTCACCAAACCAGAGAGGGCTTCCTGGAGGAAGTGGTGCCATGCTCAGACCTCCATGTGGTGTGGACCCGGGGAGAAGAGAGCAGGGATTCCCGGAGACGCGGTGCCGAGTTCAAAGCTGCATCCCCCTCAGGGCCTGGTGCACCCAGCGCATTGCACCCACCGAGAGTCTAGGGAGCCCCTCCTGGGCATGTGTCCCCCACCAAGACGCAGAGGCGAAAGCCGAGGAGCGTGGGCGGCGGCCAGGACTGGCGTTTCTAATTAGCACGCAGGCTGGGAGAAGCGTCTTCTTCTACCGTCTGTATTCTGCTGATGGAATATCAGGGCTGGGGCTAAACTATGAATCCTGTGTCAAAAATAAAGCCTGCGCGCTCCTCTTGTTAAAGGAACAGTGTCCCAATTTCCAGGTCTCTGGCTCCCCGCCGGCCTGCCTGGGAACCGGGAGACCCCTGAGCAGGGCGTGGGGCGGGGAGCCCCCAGCAGAGGCGGGGTGGGAGAGAAACGGGGGTGGGAGAAGCCAGTGGCTTTCGGGAGCCCTGAGGTTCAGGGTGGAGAAGGGAGAGGACCGGACCATTAAAAGAGGAAGGCGCTGGCTGCAGCAGGAGAGAGCGGGGCGAGCAAACACAGGTTCATTAATCTGTAGTTCGTCTGCTTTTTCTGTTAGGAGGATGAACTAGATGAGTTAATTAAGTCGCAGTCTGTAAAACCAGTTTATTTGCATAGCAAACTCCTGGGCCAGTGTGCTGTGAGTTGAGTGTGTACGAGCAGACAATTCGGGCGAAATTACAGCCTCATTAATATGCTAATCTGGTTGCAGGCCTGGAACGGAGTTTTGGGTTGGTGGTGCTCGGGGGTGGTGGGTGTTTGGTTGCGTAGCAACCCTTTTCTCCAGGTAACCCTTCTCTGGCTTGCCCTTGATATCCCCAAAGGATTGCAATGTGGAAGAGGAGGTGAGCAGGGAAAGCGCTCTGTTGTCACAGAAGAGTGAGCAAAATAAAAGGCCAGCACACACACACACACACATGCACACAGACACACGCGCGCGCGCACACACACACACGGCCACATTATGCCGCTGTCTTTGCATTGAGGCTGGGGGAGGGGGCGCGGAGGCGGAGGGGGGCGGCGGGCAAGCGCACAGGGTGCGGAGTCTGCAGATTCAGACACAGGCGAGGTGACACCCTCCTGCACGCGCGCACACACACACACACACACAGCACCAGCATGCGCTGTGTGTGCAAACACAATCGATGTGTGGGTTTTGTTTAACAGAGCAGCCACATAATGAGCTGCTCGGTGTTTGTGACAGTGCATCGTTTATTTGTTATCCCCATCTCTCTCTCTATCACACGCACTCATACACACACACACACACACACTTGCACATGCAGGCACACAGACCCAGAGGCCACACAACAGACACAAGTGCATTCAAGGCAGTGTGATATTCCGATGATGGAAACGATTAACAAGCAGCTGGAAAATGCACACACACACACACACACAGGACACGCCCACTTCACAGAGCTCATGCAAATGCCAGGTGTGTCCGCCTGTGTGGACACATAGAAACACGCATGCACCTATGTGACATCTGTGCAGTCAGGCACTGAACGTAGCCCTCGTGGGCGACAACGTGGTGTGAGACACTGCCAGCTACGTCACAGGCATCCCCAGGTTCAACCCCAAGAAAGAGCAGGCAGCGTCCCACCCCTTCCCCTCTCCCTCGTCCCTTCTCATCTGAGCCAAGCCTGCTTCCTGCAGCCTTCTTGGACTCCTAGGTTCGGTGACTGCCCCTTCCCTGGGCCCTCCCTCAAGGCCCGGCTGCTGCAGAATGTCCTCTGGCCCACGTGCACCTAACAGCACCAAAGACAGTGGAGCTCCCAGGGAGAGCAGGGGTGGGATTCACCTGCCATAAAAAACACCACACCCAGATGGTCTTTCAAGAGACTTATGTGGAGACGCAAAGAATTCTGGTTTTCCATGAGCTGTTCTGGGGGAAAAAAAACAAGAAGAAAACAAGAAGATTGCCCAACAGATGATTTTGACAGCAAGTCTAGGCAGGGGAAGATAGAAAAAGAAGGAATGCGTATGAAGACCTAAGTGATGACTGTTGTGTTTCTATGTTCTGTACAAATTGGAAAGTGGGGGCACTCCAAGAGCGGCTGAGGATGTGGGGGACACGGACGTCCTAGTGTGTGCTGGTGGGAAGCTGGGCTGGCAGCTGGCTGGAGGACCAGTTAGCATTTTATGATGGTAAATGTTTCCCTGCCTCTGAAATCCAGGTCTTGGTCCAAATACCAGAGAAACAGCCGTGCAGATAGGAGAGGAAACAGCCCTGAGGTGGCTCCTTGCCCCATTGTGTGTGCTGGCCACCTGCCTGTCCGTCATTAGGTGAGTGCACAGAGAAACTGAGGCAAAGGGATGTGTGCTTCGTCCTGCAGCGGCTGAAGGACCGCGAGAGCCCCACGGGCAGCCATCAAAGCGCAGCAGCCCCCACCTTCCACCGTCTCCGTCCCAGCGCTGTGCACGCATGATGTGGACAATTCCAGAAGCAATCAGTCCCTACTACCATTCTGAGTAGTGGGACAGAATCTCGCTGTCTGGTCTGAGGCGTGAATTATCCCTTCGTCCAGCGTTTCCACCTTGTATAAACTACCAGTCTGTTAGTTACTTGATGTCAGATTGACGGTGGCAGCATCCTGTGCTCGCGTTCAAATAATTCTGATTGGATTTAGTAATGGCCCCCCAGGTGCCAGAGTAGCAATGCTAAAGAGACCTCAGGGCGGAAAATGTGGGAATAATTCCGGGACTGTGCAGCCACGTGCCAGGACACATAGGAAGAGCCCAGTGTAGACAGCATTTGGCACCTCCTGGGGTCCCGGCCATCCACTGGGGCTCTTGGAATCCCCCCATGCATAAGGGGGAGCTACCATATGATGTGTGCGAAAGTAAGAAAGAGAGCACGACGTGTTGGCCGTGTTGTTTATGCAAACTAAAGGCACCGTGCAGTCAGCAACCTGGATTAGCCGGTCACGGGCAGGCATCCGGTGATGGACCGCTGAGTTGGCAGCAGCGTGGGCGTGGCTCCAAGGCATCCTAAGGGACAGAAACCTGCCATGGGTGTGTGTACGTGGCAGGGTTCCGTTTGTAGAAGAGCCAGGACTTGGCAAAATTCACCAGCAGGGGCCAGGAGAACAGGGCAGTAGCCTCCTGGGTCTCAGGGGAAGGGGGCAATTGATGCCAAAGAGACCCAAGGAGATGTTTTTCAGGGCACCGGAAATCTTGGGCCTCGAAGGTGGGGGTCGCACGGATGTAGGCATTTGACAAAACACCTGAGGTTATGTGCTGGGAACAGAGGAATCACTTTATTTCATATAAATTGGCCTCAATGAAGTCCATTTAAAACAATATTTTAGGCCGGCACCGTAGCTCACTAGGCTAATCCTCCACCTTGCGGCGCCGGCACACCGGGTTCTAGTCCCGGTCGGGGTGCTGGATTCTGTCCCGGTTGCCCCTCTTCCAGGCCAGCTCTCTGCTGTGGCCTGGGAAGGCAGTGGAGGATGGCCCAAGTGCTTGGGCTCTGCACCCCATGGGAAACCAGGAGAAGCACCTGGCTCCTGCCTTCGCATCAGCGTGGTGCGCCGGTCGAAGCACACCGGCCGCGGCGGCCATTGGAGGGTGAACCAACGGCAAATGAAGACCTTTCCCTCTGTCTCTCTCTCTCACTGTCCACTCTGCCTGTCAAAAAACAAAAAACAAACAAAAAAAACCCAATATTTTATTGTAAATCATCAAATAAGACTTCCAGTTACTTTGGTGCAGCACGTAAGACACTGCTCGGGACAGCTGCGTGCTGTATCAAGCTGCCTGGGTTCAGGTCCCAGCTCCTGATCCAATCCCGGTTAATGTACACCCAGGGAGGCAGCAGGTGATGGCCCAAGTACTTTGGCCTGGCACAGGCACAATGCTAGCTGTTATGGGCATTTGGGGAGTGAACCAGCAGTTGGAAGATCTCTTTCTACCTGTCTCTTTTTGCCTTTCAAATAGAATAAACATAAGGTCACAAAATAAAATATTAAAAAAGACCAAGAGTGATAACATCTCTCTGCCTATCATCTCTCTCTCTTTCTTTCTTTCTTTCTTTTTTTTTTTTTTATTTGACAGGCAGAGTTAGACAGTGAGAGAGAGAGAGAGAGAAAGGTCTTCTTCCACTGGTTCACCCCTCATTGCTGCGCCGATCCAAAGCCAGGAGCCAGATGCTTCTCCTGGTCTCCCATGGGGTGCAGGGCCCAAGGACTTGGGCCATCCTCCACTGCACTCCCGGGCCACAGCAGAGAGCTGGACTGGAAGAGGAGCAACCGGAACAGAATCCGGCGCCCCAACCAGGACTAGAACCTGGGTGCTGGCGCCGCAGGTGGAGGATTAGCCTAGTGAGCCGCGGTGCCAGCCCCATCTTTCTCTCTTTCTAGCTCTCTGACGTACCCCAGGGCAGGTGCCTGTAGAGGAAGATGAACCCGTGGGTGAGGACTCTGGAAGATGGTCGCTCTCAGTTCTTGCACCTTTCTCAGTTGTGGAGTCACACTCTCCCTGCTCTGCCACGCTTCAGAGAGACGTCCCTATCTCCTGATTTTGGACTTGGCCAGTGGACTTGATTTGGCCTGTGGCATGCTTAAGGGGTGTGATGCACGCACGCTGGGGTTTGCCTTTCTGATCCTCCCCAATCAACTGCTGCCCTTCTAGTCTGGGTTCCCCTGGAGCAGACCCACACCCTCCAGGAAGCCTGAACCAAGCTCCCGGCAGGGCAGCCGGATTGGCTGAGCCATAGCTGAGCTGCTGTGTTTGAAAAAGACCTCGTTGTCAGGCTCCGGGCGGGCAAGGGTGTTCGTCATGCAGCATGATTGTAGCGCTAGCTGGCTGATACAGGAGAGCAAAATGAGACTCCAAAGGGCGTCCGGTCTCCTCTTAGAGTCTCCAGCGGCCAGGCAGCTCACCGCCTGTCTGGTCTCGCTTTCTGGGAGAATGTCTGTTACAGTAACTTCCCGCAGGAACTGTGTGGACGGCTTCCCCCGGTTCATCTCCATTTATTGGGAGGCTCTGTGGCTCTGCCCCTTGCACAGCTGTGAAGCTGGGGCTCAGAGAGGTGGAGGAACTTGCCCTGGGCCACACAGCTGCCATAGGACACAAACCTGTAACTCTGATGCCCAAATCTAGCTCCAGATGAGGACATGGAGGGCGTTGGGTGGCTCTGTCCCACCAAGCTTGCGACAGGAGTCCGGGAGATTGCTCTGTGATGGAAATCTTCTGTGCTCAGAGCGGAGAACACCACCTTGGGGAAGGCCTTCGTCCCTTAAGAAATTATAAATATTTCATTTTCCTTCTCCTCTCCCGCCTTGTCAGCGCCGAGATGGAGTTATCGACGGCGGCCGGGTGATGGACAGATTGGCGGGCTTCTGTATTGATGAGTTAATAGATTGTTTGGCTTTTTTCTCATTCCCTGAAAAAAAGAAGTCCTGACAGCTGTTCTCGCTGTCGCGGGGGTGAGTGGAGGCTGCCGCAGAGGGTGATGGAACGCACAGGCCGGGTCAGGGGTGGACCTGTCACACAATCCTGTCAGCTCGACCTTGAACACGGAGCCTGAAATCGGCCGCCCCCCTCCCCCGCCCTCACCTGGACGCGACAGCAGCAGGCTTCTCGCTGTGACCCTGCTTCTGCCCTTGTCCCCAGGTCCACCCGGCTCCCAGCAGCAGGCCCTTCAGAGTGGAAGCCAGACCCTGCTGTTCCTGTGTCCCCAACCCTCCGGTGTCCCTCTGTGGCCCCCGTGCCCTGCCTCTGTCTGCTCCCTGTGCTCCTGTCCTGGTTCATGGCATCCTCGCTGCCCCTCAAGGTCTCCAGGCGTGGTTCTGTCGCCGGGCATTTGCACCTGCTGTTCCCTCTGCTGGGCTGCCTTTGCTGCTGGTGTCACTGACTCCCGTCCTTGCCTCCTTCTACCCTGTGTGGCCCCAGCAGCCTCCTCGCTCCCACCCGCCGACCCCTGCACACAAACTCCTTTCCCACTCTGGCTCTCAAGCAGCCCCAGCGATCTCCGTGCACCTGCCGCCTCCTGACGTTCACACAGCAAAGCACGTGTTGATCGGCTGTTTTCATCCTTAGAAAGAAGCTCTAGGAAACCCAGGAGGGCAGGGGCTGTGCTTGACATGACCGGGTGACAGGGTCAGCCAATTACAGTCCTCGGGCAAAGCCTGCCATGTAAGGGAAATTTGTCGGAACACAGCCACACCCGCTACTTTGTGGGTCATCTCTGCTCTTGCTTGGCCACGGAGCTGAGCAGTTGTGACATAGACAGCAGGGCTTGAACAGCTGGGAATTCTAGAATCTGACCCTCTGCACAGGGAGTTTGCTGACCCTGGCTTAGCGCATTGCCGACACAAAGCAGGTGCTCAGTACTTACCTGCAGAATGAACGAATGAATGAATGAATGATGGAGTCTCTTTCCTAGACCTTCATGTGTGATCCCTGCCCTTGGGGAAATGGGTTCGGGTCTTCTTCCTGGATGGCTCCCATGTCCACCATGTCTTGGTCGTGCATAACAGGAAGTTCAAGTTGATTGCCAGAAAAGGACATTTGTTAGCTCATGAATCGAAAAGCTAAGGGGAGTCTGTTTCTGGCACAGCTGGATCCAGGGACTCAGCCTCCCAGGTTGCAAGCCAGAAAAAGAGCGTCTCTACTTTTCCTGGGAGTGCGCTCTTAGGCAGTGGGTCACCTTGCAGAACCTCTGTTTTCTTATCTGTAAAATGGGAGGGGGGCTAGTGCAAGAGCAAATGGAGTCAATCTATGCAGGAGGCTGAGTTAAAGGAAAAGCCCAAGTTCTCATCCCCGTGACTGTTACGATGCACGGCCAAAGGGCTGCAGCTGATGTGGCTAAAGGAGGGGCGTGCAGCTGGGGAGACGCCCTGGGCTCACAGTCCCAGCGGTGCTGCGTGCAGGAAGCAGGAAGGCGAGAGTAGGAGAAGGGGATGCGGGACATCGTGGGAGAAGCTCTGGGGCTGGCTGTGAAGACGGGAAGGAGCTGTAAGCCGAGGGACATGGGCTGCAGAAGCCGGGAGGTAGAGTCTTCCCTGGAGCACGCAGAAGGAGAGTTGGATGAGCTCTACCCTGGCTAGCTGGAAAGAGAACACCCTTGGGGCCAGCACTTCTGTGGCACAGCGGGTTAATGCCCTGGCCTGAAGTGCCTGCGTCCCATATGGGTGCCAGTTCTAGTCCTGGCTGCTCCATTTCCAATCCAGCTCTCTGCTATGCCCTGGGAAAGCAGTAGAAGATGGCCCAAGTCCTTGGGCCCCTGTGCCCACATGGGAGACCTGGAAGAAGCTCCTGGCTCCTGGCTTTGGATTGGCACAGCTCCAGCCATTGCAGCCATCTGGGGAGTGAACCATCATCAGATGGAAGACCTCTCTCTCTCTCTCTCTCTCTCTCTGTCTCTACCTCTCTTTGCAACTCTGTCTTTCAAATAAATAAAATAAATCTTAAAAAAAAATAAAAGAGAACACCCTTGAGTTCTTTTTGGCCTCTAGGCTGCTGGTCCTGCAGGCACTTGTCAGAGCAGCAAGCAGGAAGCACCAGGTCCTCCGTCGCTGTGCCTGGCGCCAGCGCCTGAGCACCTCCATTCTGGGCGGGGCGTCCCAGCTCTCTCCACCTTCCCGGCCAGGCTTCTCTGGGGTTACTGATCTCTCTGAAAAGCAGCCTCCTGGTCCCTGAAGCTGTGCGACAACCCCAGCAGGAACCAGAGCCGCGGCCAGGGAGACCCGACTGGCATTCACCGCTGACCCAGATCTGCACGGGGTCTCAAAGCCGCCCCTGATCCCAGGCCGGTGCTTTCTTCCCACCAAGCACCTCCGTCACCCCCGCCCCCCCCCCCCACTGCCCGCACTTAATCCCCTCCCCACCAAGCTATTTTTAGGGCACTCCCTATTGATCTTCAACCTGTTACTCTCTGGAAGCACTTTGTGGCAGGGGCCCAATAAATTGGCCAGGTCTTTTGTCACCATCTGTCCCTCTCCTCATTGAGGTCAGCAGCAGGACCCCAGGCGGGACAAGGTACAATCTCCACTCGTCCACTCCTGACTGTGGAATGCACTTCCCACCCCAGTACAGGGCATCATTGCCACTGCAGGGTGGCCCCCAGAGAGGGGGCGGCGAGTCCTGTGTCACCACAACCGTGGGGTGGGGACAGTGGACGGCGTCTTCTCCCAAGGGTGCACGGCCGTTCGAACCCGAGCCGGCAAGGGCTGCCTGGACGGGCTGTTGATCACTTATGAGCTTGTTTATTTCATCCTCAGCTGCAGGTGCCACATAGAAAAGTCCTACCTTCTTCTCTAACTGACAAAAATTGTGCAGATTTACTGCGGGCAACGTGGTGCCTGCCAGCCTAACTTTTCTCTCCATTTTTAGGAGGCAACATGGAGGCACCGAGAGGAGCCTTGCCCAAGGTCGCACAGCTGGTCCACGGTGAGCTGGGATTTGAACTGAGGCAGGCTGTGGGTTTACCAACTATACTTTGTGCCTTTCATTGAGCAGTAGCAAGGGGCTGGGCATTTGGTGTGGCAGCTGAGATGCCCCGTGGGATGCCAGCTTTCCATACTGGAGTGCCCGGGGTCCAGTCCCTACTCTGCTTCGGAACCGGCTTCCTGTTACTGTGCACTCCAGAGGCAGCTGGTGATGGCCCAAGTGCTTGGGCCCCAGCCACCCACGTGGGAAACTTGGCTGGAGTTCCAAGCGTCAGGCTGGCCCAGCCCTGGCTATTGCAGGCGTTTGGGAAGGGAGCCAGCAGGTGGAAGGTCTCTGTCTCTGTTGCGCTGCCTTTCAAACAAATAGAAATACGTAAATGAAAGATGGTTCTAGCACCCAGGAACACAAGCGCTTACTTTTGAGGCATGAGCCTCTTTCTTTTCGCTTGTCTGGCTGTCCTCCTTCCCCGGCCTGCCTCCTTCCTTCTGGGTTCATACGGGTCTGGGGCCACCCAGCCTCAGCCTTCGCATGGCCGCTGCCATTGATGGGCTGAGCTGCACGTGTCCCCTGGAGGCGCTGTTCCAACACTGCCCTAGCCCAGGTGAGGACACCGAGACTCGGAGGGGCGAGGTCTGCTGGGAAGTGGCTGAGCTCAGCCGGGCCTCCGTCACAGATCCGAAACCCAGACCTTGACTGTGGTCTCTCCTCTGAGGTCAGCTTCCTTGGTCACAGACCCCAAACTGCGCACATGGCTCTGAACAACCCCCACTTTCTGTCCCTGCTTCAAAGTGGGCGGGGCCGTGCCCTCCTAAATGTGCAGAGGGAGGGTCCCTCCTTGCTGCTGCCGTTGTCGTCGGCAAGCACTGGGGTCCCCTGGCCTGGCACACATCCCTCGGTTCTCCGGCTTCCCCCACTGCTCCCTGTGTCTGTCCCACCATCTTCTCCGCCCCAATCTCCCTCCGGTCCTGTCAGCTGGGGCTGCCCTAAGTGCTCATTTTAGCTCCCTGATCTCTGTGCAAATCTCATTCCCCAAATAAGGTGCACCATCTGCGGTCCTGTAGGGTGGGATCTCAACGCGCCTGCCTGGGGGATAGATTTCTAACTGTGGCATTGTCAGGAGACCCCGGGGAAGGGAGCAAGCAAGCCAGGACATCCTGGGGCCTGGCTCCTCAGCCCAGGACTCCAGGGGCTCTGAGGTCCTTTGTCCTGAAGCTTGCCTTTGCTGTTCTCCCCCAGAGATGGGAAGCGCTGTGTGGGCAGGGCCGGGTCCCCCTGGACCTGTGGGCATGGAACAAGTGCATGGAGGAGATGCTGTCACCCAGGCCAGCCCAACACTGGGTTTCGGTTCTTTAGAATCCTCAGGGCCAGGAGACAAACTGGCCCTGAGTCTGGATCCTGCAGCTGAGCCCACATCACAGAGAGCCCCCTCCAGCTGCTAGCCAGGCACTGGGGAAGTGGGGGACCTCGCTGTGAGTTGGATTGTGATCTCATGTGACAGTGCTGCTGGGGACAGGGCGGTCCCTGCCCTTCCCGCTTCCAGCTGCACAAATGGTGTGCCCTCCCCACTGAGCTGGGCACGCTGTGGGCAGGGGTGTGGACTGAGCACACCCCACCCACCCTCTCAGCCCCGGGGGAGGAGCTGTGGCTCAGGGATCAGAGGGAGGGTCTGGTCCAGCCCTGGGTGTGAGCTGGGGCCCGTGTCGGACTGTCCTCGGTTGTCAGGACTCCCAGTGTGTGCCAGGGCCTGGGAAGGCTGGGATCCAGTGGGTGACAGTCTAGGTTGGGGGGTGCAGCGGGGGGCTCAGGAGTCTCTCAGACCCAACCATCCCCACTCCCTTCAATCTCCTCTCCACCGGGACGGCCCCGCCCACAGAGCCCAAAGGCTGGCAGAAGGGGACACAGAGGCAGAGTCCCCAACACTTGGGAAAGGCAGGGTGGGAGGCGCCACCTCCCACTTCCGGTCCTCACCTCAAGGCCCCACCTCCATTGCCCCCTGCCGAGCAAGAGGGGGTGGAGGGGCCTGCCAGGGTGGAGGTGGGGTGGGGCAGCTGCTGCACAGTGGGCTCTCATATGGGGGCGCTGCAGCTGGGGGAAGCAAGTCCCTTGGCCATGAACTCAGGAGGTTCTGTCCCACTTCTCTCTCTCAGTGGGTGGTGGCCCCCAGCTTTCTGGGTTCCAGGTCTCAGTTTCCCTATCTGAGAATGGGGGAGCTGTTAAGTGCCTGTAAGGCGGCGTGGCCCCCCCTGGCCAGGACAAAGCAGGCTCCCCTTTTATTCCTGAGGGAGCCCATCCCCCCAGCAGCCTGCTGGGGCCCTCCCTACTCCCCAGAAGGGGACCCTTCCTGCTGTACCAGAGCCATCTGCATGGCAAAGCCGGCCTCCCTGGACGGGGCTGGCCAGGGGTGAAGGGGTTAATAAACCCGACTGGCCGCTGCTCCCCAGGGACCCCTCCAGGTGGGGCTGCCCTGACAAGTGGAATGAGTCTGGAGGGCTCCATCTGGTTTCCAGGGGACCTTGCCTCTTGGACTTACAGTGAGTGACAGGTCCCAGCCCAGCCGGCCTGGCCATGAGGGGCTGCCCCGGATTGCGGTGGGGAAGAGCTATTCTGGGCAGGAGCTGGGGACCCCGGAAGTGGGCTTTCACTTATTTACTGAATTTGTAAAAACATTGTACTCGCTTGTTGGAAAGGCAGAGAGTCACAGAG